GTGGCTGGACCTAGCCACTACTTAGGATACGATACAAGTTGCAGTGTATGACTTCTGAAACTTGGCTATAAAAAAACTTTGCAGCGTCCTCCTTACTATCTAGCATCACTCTTTCTAGGGGAAGCCAAAGCCATGTTTTGAAGAAGCCCGGGAGGCCCTGTGCAGAGGTTCACATGGTGAGGAATCAAGGCCTCCTGCCAACAACAGCCAGCACAGACCTGCCAGCTGTGTGAGTGAGCATCTCGGAATGGAACCCTCCCGTCCCAGCTGAAACTTAAAATGCTATCTCGGCAGCCAGTAGCTTGACTGCAACTTTATGAGAGACCCCAGGCCAAGGCCATGTAGCCACCCTGGTCCCAAATTCCTCACTCACAGAAGCTATGTGAGATAATAAAAGTTTATTTTTGTTTTAAGCCATTAAATTTGGGGTGATCTGCTATTCAGCAATATATAACATATATTGAATGTGATATAAACTGATTTTATCATGCAATACTTAACCTAACTCACTTGAGGAAAAGCAAACCTTATCATCAGTCAATAAGAGGGAAACTTTGGTAAGCAGAAATGAAGAAAATAATTATAAAAAGCAAATATCAAACAGGAAAGGGACTACAAGTATGTCCTGCATTTTGACAGAGACTGGTTAGCTGTCCATCAAACCCTTTTCTTCCTTTTCCTGGATATACCGGTAGACTGCATTTCCCAGCCTCCCTTGTAGTTAGATGTGGCAATGAGATTGAGTGCTAACTGAATGTGAAAACATTCATGCTGTCTCTTTTTCTGTCTGCTGGGTAAGTGTTGACAAGCAGAGTAGGCTTAGAAGCCACATGTTGAAGATGACAGAGCCTCTATCAGGCTAGGTTCCTGACTGACTATGGAGCAGACAGCTCCCTAGACTAGGCAGAGAGAGAATGACATCCTCAATGTGGCTTCAGGGTTCTTCTTGGGCACCATAATAGTCAGTGTCCCCCAGAGAAACAAAACTAATGGGGAGGGGAGAGAGAGAGAGAGAGAGGGAGGGAGGGAGGGAGAGAGAATAGGAAGGGAAGGGAAGGGAAGGGAAGGGAAGGGAAGGGAAGGGAAGGGAAGGGAAGGGAAGGGAAGGGAAGGGAAGGGAAGGGAAGGGAAGGGAAGGGAAGGGAAGGGAAGGGAAGGGAAGGGAAGGGAAGGGAAGGGAAAAGATAGAAGTCAGGAGAAAATAAATGCCCCATCTTAAGTAGAGAGCAAATTCATCTCGCATCTACCTTTGGTGTTATTGAGGCCCTCAACCTCTTAGATGATGCCCACCCACATTGGTAAGGGTAATCTTCTTTACTCAGTCTTCCCATTCAAAAGCAAATCTCTTCTAGAAATATCCTCTTAGATACATCCAGACATAGTGTTTTACCAACTATATGGGCATCATTTAGCACAGTCAAGTTGACACATAAAATTAACCATCAGCTTTATCCACCCACCAGATTAGGGAGGAAATTGAATAAAGGTACAAAGATTTAATTACTTCAGATAGGAAGTAATTCACACACATTCCATTGGTAAAAATTAGTCCTTTGGCCCCACCTACATGACAAGGGAGCTGGGAAATGAGTCTCTAGTGGTGCCATGGCTGCCTAGCAACAACTCTACACAAAGGAACTGGGGCATGATCTTTGGGGGCTCTGCCATCCCTTCTCACACAGAGCATGCTCAATTCCCAAGGGGGTGACTCAAAGATCTATTCACATATTGTCTCCAGCTCCAAGTCCAAGACCTCTGGGATGTGCAGTCTTCTTCATAAAGTATGAAAGTCTCTTTCTGTAATCTGAAAAATTATGAATGAAAACACAACTTATACCTCATATACAATATAAAATGAGAGGATGAGGACATGAAAACCACAGGACATCGTTGATCAATAGAAGTGCTGAAATTGTCAGGCAGGCATTATTCAGTCCTGCTGTCCTGGGGTGAGGGGTGGAATACATTTCTTGATCAGCCTCTCTTCTGCTTTTTAGAAGAAACTGACTTGTCCCCTGTTCCCCTAAGTTCCTGTTCAAAGCTCTAGGATTTCTTCCTTGTCTTATATTCCCCGTGGCCTCATCTAAAATAGGTATTCAAAAGTAGCCCTCCTTGAGGCCTGTTCAGATTTCAGGCCTGCTTCCTACTGGTAAAAGTTTTGGGACCCAGGTGTTGTTTTTAAGGCTCAAATAGTCAAGGCTTCTTTGGCAATGAAATTCCTTCAAACACTTGGGCTTCTGTACTATTTGCTTTCATCAGTTTCATGTGCCAGTAACCATACTCAAAATTGTCCTGCCTGCAGCCTGAATTGTCTCTTCCCTTGCTGACCCCTGGCCTCTCTTTAATGATGGCTCTTTTGAGATGATCCAAAACAGCTGTGCTCTTAATGTCATCTTTCACATGGGCTGTTTCAATAATGAAACTTGTCTCTCACTGTCTTAGCCTCGCTTATTCCTGTTTGGATCTAGCATCAGTCTTTCTCAATCTCCTCTTATTCTGTTTGCAATGAGGGAATTCGTTCCTAAGCTCAACATTTGTATGAGCTGATTTAAGGCAGGTCCCGGCTTCACCCTCGTCCTTCTCGGGTGCTCTGACTTCCCAGCTATGGATCTACGGCAGCAGGGGCCATTTCAGTATGAAGGAAAAATGAGTTCAATTTTGGCAATTGTCCTTAATGTCATCTGTATTCCAGCATGGTTAATTTTGAAAATGTGGCAGAATTTGGGCAAGTTAAATAAACCTCAAATGTAAATGTAATATAAGCACACAAACTCTCTGGTCTGGATAAAGGGCAGTGTTACCAAGTAGAATCATTTCAGTTAAATACTATGGATATATATTATTCATATATATATTTTGGCAACCTTCATATATATTTTGAAGATTTTGGCGTATATTTTGGCAATCTTCACATATATATGCGTGTATATATATATATATACATATATATAAAGATTTTCAACCAAATAAAAGGATTTTGTTAGATTTTTCTCTGACCAAAATCTTCTACTGAAAAGATCTGAGTTTTCTGCCACAGAGCATGCTACTGATTGCTGCTATGGCCATGCAAGGTCTGGAAGATTATGGTATGAGATATTAGCACATCATAACTCACAATTAAGCAAAAGACAGTTTCCGGATTGATTTTATATCACATACAGGGAAATATAATTTTCTTTCTTGGATATACCTATGATGGTGGGAATAAGAGACCTCCAAATGAGTGGTTTCCACGATGATGATGATGATGATGGCCCAATTGAGTTATTTGTCAGCCCGTAGTGCTTAGTCATGACTTTAGCTCCCAAAGTACTTCCCAAAACCCAGGTTCTGTTGTTAACAAAGCAATCCACTTAAGATAATGAGAGATCTAATTAACGCTAGAATACTAGAGAGGATTCTCTCTCATCTGCTGTTTCATTTATCTTAATTTTCATCAGCAAAGGAAACAGTATTATCCCTGTTTCACAGATGGAGGAACCATGGCTCAGAAGAGTTGACAAGAGCAGAGGAACAGGCATTGAAATTTCAAGTCATTTTCTCCAGGTTCTGAAGTCCTTACTACACCTAGTGCTGTGAAGATGAAGCAAGACACTGTACATGGAAGCAGAATGTCTGGCACATAGTAAGCACTCAAATGAGACTTTTTTTTCATCTCTGGGTTCCTTACATAAATCCTATGAGAACTATTGTGCACGTAGGAAGAATAACTACATTTTCTTTTCTGCTTCAAGGAAAATTGTCAGCAGAAGCTTATCTGAACCTAAGTGGGGGCAGTGCGTAGGATGGCTGTGAGTTTTGATAGATTTAATTTGGTTTTATATTTTGAAAAATGGCTATATTACCCAAAAGCAAAATATTGGTTTGATTTCTTTATTGACTTTGCTTCTCAAATCTCTTGACTATTATTTTATTTTATGAAATGATAAATACAAAATAGTATAAATTGATTTTTATTTTTTGCAAGAAGGGTAATACTCTTTCTAACCTAGAATAAGTATGTTTTTGGTGAAGCAGTCCTAGGTTTTAACCTTTTCTCCACTGTTATTAGTTGTGTAACTCTGGCTAGTCATCTAATATTCCTGAGCTTTGGTTTTTCATCTTTAAAATGCAGATAATAATACTGGTCTTGCTGGAAGGCTGTGAGAACTAAATGAGTAAGGTATAAATTGGTTAATACAGAGTAAGGGCTTAAGAAAGTACTTCCTTCTAAAAGCACTGGTATTGGCTTATTTTAATCTAATTTTTATGATAAAAGAATACAACAAAATCATATAGGTTATCTTAAGGAAAATTGCAATCATTTCCCTATTTATGTGCTTTTCTTAAAAAGATTTTATTTTATTTCTGAGAGGGTAACAGAGGGATAAAGAGAGGGAGAGAAACATGAATGACTTTTAAGGATTTGTAGCAAAAGACTGACAAATGTAGCTCATTCTGATCAGAGGTAGTTTAAAAAAGTGAAGAAAAATATATATTTAAAAAACCAGATCTTGTTTCTCTATAGTAGATAATGTTGATCCAATTTTTGTTTTAAATAAATGGAGCAATATTTGGGGCTCACTTCAAATTGTCCCTTTAGAATTTTCAAACTTAATGGTACTTACACATAATAAGGATACCATTTTCCTTAATAATATAGATTATGATGCATCTCGCAAATGAAAATTGAGATCAATATTAGATTAAAAGAAACTTAAGATCGGGGCATAGCTAATTTGGTATTTGTTTCTCACTGAAAAGCTTTCTAGACTTCTAGTTGTGTTGTTTAAAATATTTATGTATTTTTCCACATCATGCAAATCTTAGTCTAAGTTCAATACTAAGTAATTTACAGAAACCCAAATAGCTTTGACTATTTCATATAAAGTGGAAAACAGGGCATAATTTACACTGTTCAATGATAGGCAACAAGAAAAATCTTACACTTGAATCAGGGATAAATATTACTTTTATTTTTTTGAAACGTAATTTCAATATACTTTAAAAGGACCAAATGAGCATCACAAATTCAAATTTAAATAAAAGTTAACACAATAAAACATCTTAATGGTTTCACTTCAAAATGACTTAACACACTTGCTATTAAGATGTAAGGCATCAAATGCCCTAAGAAAAATGCCCATAACCTTTATAACTGCCCTTTCACAATAGCAAATAACACATAATCAACATGGAATTGTTTTTTCTGCTTTGACAAGAAAAGTAAAACTAAAAGCACAACAAAAACCACAAAATAAAAACTCTCAGTCTACTGTATAACAACAGGCTATCGTTGCTCTCTTGTGCAACAAGTGCTTGGAGGCCGACGGGGAAGCGTGACAGTGGCCGTGGGAGGGTGAGGCTGGCTGTTCCCGAAACACGGGAGACTGACTAAAACTTGGACCAAAGGAAAATACCGTCTTCTTCCCGTATTTCCCTGAAATAAAATAAATAGTTCACGGTAAAGCAATTTCTAAATATGCCAGACTCTCTGACCTTGAACTTGAGAGGTTAAAAAAAAAATCAGTCACACATTTGTGGGATGCTGAAGAACCAAGACAGATCTATATAATTATGGCATCTCATTCTGAGATTGATTCCAAATTCTTCATTCATGACCCATGAAAGATTTCTCTTGTCCTTAAAGCCAACATTAAGGCATGCCAAGTTTCCTGTAAGAAAATCATTCTAACGATAGCTTTGGATATTACAGTTCTGTAGTGATAAAATATTTTCCTAGGACATATATAGACTCAAGTGTCTATATATGACACTTGGGTGGGCTTGCACACTAACAAACATAAACCACAGGAACACTTAACTATGAGCCACGGATTTTTGAAATCAATTTTATGTATTTAAAATAACATCTTTTTACAGTGCCAGTGCAAGAGTCAGGCAAATTATTTCCCAAAGCTTATGCTCATAAATGTTGGAAGGAGAGAATATTATAAAGTTCTGTGAACCATAAAATGATATAGCTGAAAATCAGCTGAAGGACAATGTGTTAGTTCTTACGAATTCATTTATACTGGGAAAAGCCAGTGAGACTTCATTATAATTCTTCTCATTATAGTCATTCTTTATGTCCATTTCTTGGAAAGGTTAAACCCCATTACAGAGAACTGTAAGGATCTGTCTTATTCCTTTGTCAGAGTGGAACATAGTTGGTAGTATTAAATCTCGCCGAAGAGGTGAACTACTGGTGAGGGTTGTGAATCTCTTTTGTCAGACCACATTGTTGTGGTAGCAGTAATTGCTACAATGGAATCTGACCTTCAGATTGAAAAACCTTCTCCTTTCGGCTACAGAAAACATTTTTTCTTTAACTTTAGATGACTAACCCAGGTAAGGTTTTGCATGGGCCTGTCACATGTGAAAGATGCAGGCTGACATGTTCAAGTGCTCCTGCCTAACACCTTTACTTGTCACAGAAAAGTAACAAAATGTAGAGTCACTTCAGTTCAGACTCTTAATTCCCAATATTCAACTGGCATTAACGCTCACTCATTCATTTATTCTTAAAGCCCGGAGGCAAAAGTAAGGCACAAATAAATTTGGAAGGGCAGTCTCTTTATCTAAATTTGCACCTTGAAGGACTTGTCCCAGCGCTGGTCCAACTCGGTCCCTAAAACAAGTAAGTATGAGAGGGATGGACTCGCATTATTTTGAGCAGAGAGTAAAGCAGGTGAAACTGCTATCAAGGCAGTATCTAGGTGGTAGAGTCAGAGGGCACAGCAGCCGTGGGTGAAAGCACCCACAGTGACCAAGAACTTCATGGGTCCATGCTGTCCTGGGCTCCTCTAACCTGTAAGTTGGCCGTGAAATGGCAAGTCTGGAGAAAAGACATTCCCCTCCTGAGGGGCCAGTGCATTGTATGGCACGGTCTGCTTCAGGACCTCCAAGTGGCTGGAAAGGACACAGAACGTCGCACAGAAAACACTTCCGCTCTGCCACAGTTTTAGGGGCCCTAAAAAGGGACAGTTTGTTGAAGTCATTAAGAACATTAAACTGTCCATCAGCAGCACGCAGAGATGGAGAAAGATGGCTTTCTTTCTGATACTCACTCCTTTGGGCTGCACTGTGGAACAATGAGCTGACTTCTCTTAAGATGAGGAAGGTGACCACGAGTTAATTTTCTAAAACCTGATACATAAGTCAAAGATCTAAATGACGAGCCTTTGAGAAAAGAGTTTTGTTTTACCAGGTCTTGCAGTAAAAACTCTTATAGATAACAACCAGCACCATGTTGAAGAGACAGACATAAGGTCATAAATCTCCATGAAGGATTCAAGATCAGCACCATAGCTATGGTCTGTTCAATGTCTGTACCATCTATCATGTGACCTTGCTAAATTACTTCTAAATACATATTTAAAGGCCCTCAAAACCCTCCTCATCAAATTGGAAACAACAGGTCTAAGGATGAGGTCTTTTAGTTGCCTGTGTTGCCATCTCTTTAAATTCAAGTGATCTTCAGCTTGAATTCAGGCACTGACAGGACAGCCTAAATGCAGCATGGAAAGAGCCATCCAGAGGATTTTCTGAATGGGTTCCTTTTGATCCGATGGTCTGCCCTCCTATGATTAGAACCTTAAAGGTTGAAATAAGCACTTACTACATTTCCATTTTAAAATTCTAAGAGATGTATTCTGACATGTTAAATCTTTTTCCCTCTGAATATTTTCTTGTCCTAATCTCTTCAGTTTTCCCTTGTTACACACACACACACACACACACACACACCTCCTTTAAATCACATCAGAACTGTACATCATTTGGTAGCACTGCAAAATCTATTAAATGCTTCCAAATGAAGAGCTAAAAAGCTTTAGTTTTTCTCCTTTATCATCAGCTTTACAGAACTGCAAAAACTTCCCAACACTTGATTCTTAAATTTGTCTGAAAATAAGCTGAAAATCAAGCCCACACAATTAATTCAGTTTAGTTTGTGATTTGGCAAAATTAATCTTGTTCATCAATAAATAAAAACAAAAGTCCACTGATACCACTTAGCTTCTATGAATAAACATGCGTTCTTAAAATGTGTTAAAAGAAAAAAAACAAAAAACAGCTCCGACCTACCCACCCAGCCAAGCCGTAGATCACACCCTAATTGCCTCAGCATCAGCCAAAGAGGGCCCTCCAGCACGCTAGAACTTGACAGCTGATAAACCTTCAGAACATGAAATTTACGCCGCTGGTAAGCTGGCCTCAACACAAACCACAAAATGAGATTCACAGTGCAACAAAGAGTTTGTTCAAAAAGCACAAAGCAGCAGCAATAGAAAACAGAAATCGTCTGTACATTGTCCCAATTCTTTCTGAATCAATAACAGCCTGTTCTATAGCTGTCTAGCTTCCTCTGATGGCCATATATTTCTCATTTTTACCTAATAGCTCTTTCCCATAGCCATCCTCTCTTTTTTTACTAGTCTCTGATCTTCCCTTTTGTGTTTCCCCTTAACCCTTAGTAACGCACTGCATACTCATCACATCTATCTCGGACACCCACAAGAGCTCATTCACATAGATATCCTGACTCACACACTCTGCCAGCCATAGTCACCCACGTATTCCACCATCCTCGATAACAACAAAAACTTCAAACATTAGAATTAGGCATTACAATCTACAAAGCCCCATGCCTGCCCTCCCACCCCAATTCCTGGCTCCAGTCCTCTTTGATAATGACTACGCTGATCACGGTAACTCAGTAATGGAAGTTACAACAGAGCCTCCAGCACGAAGTTGGAAACACCTCTAGGAATAACTGCAAAATGCAAGATGTTTCTGAGGCTGCATTTCCTAACCCCTTCCTGAACCATTACCATAGGGAGATGGTGTGTTAGTGCAGACACTGGATGTTTTGCAAGCTGTGGCCACATTGCGCATCGTGTCTCTCATAGAGCTTCCTGAGGCCAGAGCTCAGTTACTGAAGGCTTGGGAATAAGGAGGCCTGGAGCACTGTGACAAGGGGTGCAGTTCCCATGGAATCAGTGTATTTAATATCTCCCATCCTCCCCTTTAATTCTTTGGCTCTGGGCTTAAGGACTGCTGCTATCTCTGGACAATGTCCTGCTGCATGGCATAGAGCAAGTGGTGCAGGCTTCTAGTAGCAGTCCGCAAGTCTAGCTGCAATTGTATCGGAAGTTTTCTCCAAACAACAACAAAAAGTCACGTGGGAGTATTCCTGAGCCAGTCATGACTCAGACCTGCCTAGATGTTTGCTTGTCTGGAAGTATATTAAAAATGTTTCACGCTTTGCCTCTCTCATGTGAGAATCAGGACAGACTTCAAGAGCATGAGTAACCAGTATCATAGCTAAACCAGGAACAGACAATGAAATTTATATCCCCAACTAACTTGACTTCCTCTAGAAAATGGGCATGTGACACTGGCTAATACCTGGCACTACCATTATGGGTTAAATTCAGATTGGTCCTACAATGATTTACATAACTTTCTTTTACTAGAAAGTGCCAGTATTCTAATGACTCAATTACCACTTGTGAGTACAGGAATAATTTTAAATATAACAAGCAATATTATAGGTTTTCTAATAACCAGTATCCTCAAGTTTTAAAACATTTAAATTCAAAACCCTGTATTTTAGCAAGTAGCCAAATTATAGAAAGAAAAAAATTAGTAACAAAATGGATAAGAACCTTTGAGAATTAAATATAAGCCTTATTATGTGATTAGTGCTTAAGTTATTTTTCACAAAATAGGAGACTATAATTGATCTATGTGTGGGAACTCCTAGTGTCCAAAGAACAATGCCCTATATCTTGTCAAAAAAATCATTTGTACATTGGGCTGCTAGGAATATTTGGCTACTGAAGTAGAAACTGATGGCATTTCAGATGAATCTGTCTCAGCTCCTCAGAAGGTCAGGGGTAGCTGGTTGTGGTTTCTTAATGCAGCTTACATGGCTTTCTTCTAAAGAAAAAACACACGGAGAACAAAACACTCACAGGCTGTTGGTTTGGGGCATAAACTTTTCTTGCCAGGCAAACGAACTGCGCTGTCAATTTTAAGAAATGTGGCTTGTTTTTTGTTTGTTTGTTTTCTCATATAAAATGCCAAGGCAGACTCCAGAAGTTCACAACCAGAGTTAACTCTGAACAGCCAGAGCATCTTCCTCTACCAAGGACAGCTCCAGGGTGTTTTCATTAGTGCTGGTTTTCATCCTGAAGCTGAAAGAACCATAGAGTTTTGCAGACTCTTTGGAAGACGCAAACCTGTTGCGACTATACAGCTCCCCTTTCCACATAGACATCATGAGCAGACAGGACAGAACGACACCCCCGAGGGTAAGCAGGCAGAGTCCGGCAATCACACACCGGTCCAGGTGTGCCCCCAGCCTGGCGCTCTCCTTCTCCAGGCGTTCCATCTCCCGGGCCGCCACGGTGTTGGGATCCACAGTCACTTCCCGTGGGACAATATAAGAGATGATCACCAGCAAGATGCCCGTGACCAAGAACAAGATGGCACTGATGAAGCCATAGTCTACTGACTTCCCTGAAGATGTGGCTTCTGAACTTGTATCATCTTCATCATCAGATATCAAGGAAATGGCAGCCTCATGGGACCACTCATTGGAATCTCCCCAGTCAAGGTCTCCCGGGTGATTACTCCCTTTTGCAGAAGGGGAGCTCTGGTTCCTCTGCTCTAAGTTAACATTCTCATCCACGTAAGTGAAAGAAGTTTCCAGTTCCTGACTGCAGCAATTGCAGACTTTCCGTTCTGCTACTTGGGTGTTCCCTGAGGTGAGAGGTCCAGGTGGGAAGGAGTCTGGCTTAATAACACTGTCTTGCAGAGAGGAGGTGGATGATGGAGAAGGGCAAAGTTTAGAGCTTTCCATCTCGGCTGCTCTTGGTGTCGATGCACAGCGTCTCTGGCAGCAGAGAGCAGCTTTGGAGGCTGCCGAGTCTGCCTGGTCGACGGGAGACCCTCCTGAACTCCAGCCCACAGCATTGCACAAGGCTGCCTGGCTGTTCTTCCTAGCAAGATGGTGGAGCTCCATCAGAGATACTCAGACATCCCCCAGCAGCTTCCGGAAATCCTGCCAATTACATCAAACAGAACCCAATCGCCAGGAGGGCTGCTGGAGATGACCCCATCTCCTTGGCAGCCACAGGGTTGACACTGCAACCCTAGATCCTCCTAAAGGAGTAAGAAAAAGGACAGGATACCTAGTGTCAAGAGAGTGTGAAAAGGGCAAATCCTCTGACTTATCACGGGGATTAACACTAGGAAACTTAAGTCAGGGTAGAAAAGGTGCGTGGAGGAAGTAGCAGTGTCTCTGAAGAAGGCATTGCCGTCACCAAGCCAAATTTATCCAAGGACTCACACATTTCTGTGACAGGATCTCTCAATGAAAAAGCAGGTTTCCTGTATAGAGACAAATGAGAAAGACAGGGACCTTTTTTAGCAGAACTGCTGATTTTCTGGAGAACTTGGGGAAGCACAGACTTCTCAATGATTCAATTAAATGATAAGTGTTTACACTCCCTTTAGTTCAGAACAGATTCTAATACAGATTAGTTTTAGAGCATCACCATGGGTGAATGTATATGTTACTATTATTTGGGTTCTCCCGGAGCTGGGGCTTAGCATTCTGACTGCATAGCTCGGAAGTAGGTAAGGGAGGGCAGGCTTAATCAGCCACCCGTCCTAACCTTACACTGCAAACATCCCATGACCCTAATCACCCAGCCCTGTATTTGTAAGACCCTAAGCTCATTCATTGTGCTTCCATTCTTAGCCCATCCCCTTGCTACTACAGGAAGGCAGCATGTTCTGGACCTGGAAGTATGTAGACAACATCCTTCATTGCATGATCCCTGCCAATACTATGGGCCAACCCACTGCTATGCACACCCAGAGCTGCCTGCTCCAGGGCAGGTCAGCTAGTCCTGCTCATTGAGTCTGCATGGGTCTGAGCTCCTCTCCTTCTGCACACTCTGCTAACACAGGTGCACAGGACGTTGGCCATCCAGAAACTTGACAAACCCAATCTAGAAGTAAACTGACAACAGAAGACAAAGTAACCAACAGAGCCAGGGTTTTGTTGAGGCAAATAGGCAAGAAGCTGTCTCCGACGTTACCTCTGGAGTTTGTATCCATGACATTCCCTCACCCCAGCAGCAGCAAGGGACCTTCCTGGGACACAACTATTAAGTTGAGCAGAAAACCATCTTCCTGTCTTTCTCTGCCTCTGACGTCCTTCTGAGGATAAAAATTCATTTTCCACTATCTCCAAGGAAAGAGGTTTCAAACAAAGGCACTTTTAATTTTGATTCCAAGCCCAGGGTAGTTAACTCCCGTAAACCCATGGCTTTGGGGTTTACTATGATTCACATCCCACAGCTCCAAGAGCCAGTTAACACACACAGAAGCACAGGTAAGGCTCACCTAAGGTCAACATGGCAACTCACTTAAAATATTGGAGAAGGAATCCACGTTTCCTGCTATATATCAGTTTTTTTTATTAACCCACTTTTCTCCTACTATTGGAGTTTCTCTGCAGCTAAAACAGAAAACCAACAAACTATACACCAATTGCAAGAAAACCATAACTGAACCAGAGCTTTCCCTTAAGCAAGTGGACAGATCTCGGCTGCAGGATCCCTCAATGAACGAAGCGATGGTAACGGTTTGATTACTGAAATGAGAAATCTCACAGGTCCCTTAGACCTCGGGCACTCTGATTAACCTTTCGCACAATTAACTCATCACACTGGACTACTTTAGATAAAACCATAAAATCGGCAAAGTCCCCTTAGGGGACTTCCAATTTTTAATAAAGAGGGAGAAAAATCGCCACTTAATTCCCTGGTCCTACGACCAGGGAATTTCCTTCTTTCCTTCAAAGAGAGACTCCGCTCATTCCGTCGGCAATACGCTGGCTGCCTGGTGGATTTCCTCTGCGTCTCTGTGATCCGAGGCTACCACCCTGGATGGAGAAGAGACAATCCCAGGGGGCCAGCTGAAGTCTAGCCTTCCGACCCCTCCCTCTCTTCCTTCGGGTTTAAGAGCGCAGGTGATAGAATTGCACATCAAAGCGAGGGGAAAGCACTTTTCCTCGGCCGACTGCTATCCATTAAGAGCAGGGATATCTGCACTGGAACTAACTGACCCGGGCGAGGCTGGGCTGGAGAGGGCGACCGCGGGATCCGTCCTGCGAGCGCCGCGCGGGGACGCCGCGCCGCAAGCCCTGGGCAGCGGTTCCCTTGCGGCGTCAATCAATCCATTCCGGGTGAACTCCTGCGCCCTCGGGAGCCACCCGGAGTCCGGCTGCGTTCGCTCAGAAGTACCCTGAGGCTGGACAGGCACCTTGGGCAGAGAGTGGGGACGCGCTCCCCTGCTCCGCCGGGCTCCCGGGGTCTTTCCCTCGCCCCTGCAAGTCTTCCACTCTGACTCTCAACCACTCACCTCCTGTCTTCGCCACCCAGTGTGGCTGGAGGACCTCGCGCTTATCCCCGCAGGGCTCCTCGGGAAAGTCCGCGATCGCCGCCCTGGCACTTTTGCCACCGCACGCTACAGAGCTCCGCGCGGTGGGCAGTGCCCGCGGTGCCAGGCGGGGCGGGGCGGGGTGGGGCGGGGCGGGCGCTCCCTTTGCTGAGCATCCCGGGAGATGTAGTCCCGGGCGAGGGTGGGGGTGGGGGCTCTCTGCCTGTCTGTCTGCCTCCATGCCTCCCTCTGCTCTGTTCCCTCTCCCACATCCTCGTTTCTGCCTTTCCCTGTACTTCCACACTCCTGCCTCGCACTTGAGAAAAAAGCGCTGGCTCCTGAGCTCCAGGTGGGGTCCCGCAGCCTCAGGTGTAGCCACAGCATTATGGGGGAGGCGTCTATATTTTAGTTCCCCCTGTTTGCCAGGCAATATGCATATTTTGTCTTGGTTTAATAGTCTGAACAAATCTTCGAAGTAGGTTTCATTAATCCTCATTTTACAGATGAGAAAAGAGAATTAGAGGAATTAAGTGTCTCATCCAAGGTTATAAAGACAATAAATAGCAGCTAACAAATTGTATCCAGGAAACTGTTTCTAAAGTCATTACCTTGCCCACAGAATCAGGAGAAATGTGGCTATGGAGGATAAAAGCTCGTTCTGTTCACTACGCATCCCCTGTGCAGAGCGCCCGGTGTTGTTGAATTACGAACAATAATGGTGCAAAACACAATGAACGTAAGTAGCACTTATGCCAGACTCGCCTAATCACTTTAGAAACAGGTACCCCGGCTTTTCGAAAGTCCGCTTAATGACGCTTTGATTTTACGAAAGACCTACCTACCCCTAGTGTCTGTTTTCACTAGCTGAAAGAAACCTGAAAGGATCTTGATTTTTATGAAAAAGGGCGAAAAGGCAGAATAGTGGTCGCCATTTGTTTGCAGCAAGCTGCCTCAAAGGCATTACGCACCGGTAAGTGAAACAACACTGTGCAAATATTATTTCTACTTTATGTAGATGCTCTATTTATCATAACATTCCTTTGACTATGTTAGTGTTATTTTAGGTTTAAGGTTTTATTTGGTAGGTTACTTTGGAAGTCTGGGAATACTCAAAAAATTTTCCGGTGTAAATTAATGGTAATTGCTTCTTCACTTTATGTCATTTCAGTTTATGAAAGGTTTCGTAAGAATGCTCTACTTTTCCATGGTGGGTTAGGGTGGGTGCACCTGGACTTTAATTCACTAAGTGGTAATTCAATTAATTTTTAAAGTCCTGTAAAAATCCTCAGTTTTGTAGAAGAGAAAGCTCAGTTACAGGGAACCTGAGTAATTTGTGGAAAGTCATACAGCTAGTACTCAGCAGAGCTGGGGCATGAACCACAAACTGAACCAACAGAAGGAATACCAGAAGGAAGAAGAGAAAGGGTTAGACATAAAGGAAATCTGGAGGTTGGAGCTGCTGAGTGTGACTCCCAGGATAGGACGAAGGAACTCCTTGGGGTCATCAGCCTCTTTCTAACCAGAGTGGACTGCTGCATCAAAGGAAATGTGTGGTTTGTGGATTACCTCCTAGTTTTCAGCATCTCCTTTAGTGAGATTCTAGGGCTATTGATTGCTTCACTCTAAGGGGAGCAAGAGAGGAATTATAATATTTATAACACTGTGCTCTTTGTGAATGACTCACATAAATTCTGTGGTTGCTTCCTTTCAAGTGATAAATCAATCTCCTATAATGATGATTTTGTTAGTTTTCCTTTATATTAATAGATTTCACAGTCTCATAGTTCCAGGGACTTCACAATCCAGCTTCTTTAAAATCTGATTCCCCTGTGTCTCTCTTTTAGCAAGTTAGGCTCATTTATTGTTAAACATGATGTGTATTGTGGTGTCTTCTCCTTTGCTCATTACACTGTTCTCCAGTGAGAATGTCCTTCCACCATCTCCCTGTTCTGTCCACCATTCAAGGACTATCTCCCTAAGTCACAGTTACAGAGATGTCGTCTGTTCTTAGCACTATATGCGTACATTTAAAAGGGAGCACAAAGACACCATAGGGTGCCTAAAAGAGAACTGGTAAGTAGAAGAAACTTGAAATTACATTGGACAAGGAGATGCTGAAGGAACTTGGGATATTTAGTTAGAAGAGGAGACTTAGAAAAAACAAAAATTAGCTTTAAATGATTTGAAGTTTGTAAAATAGAAGAGAGATTTTCTATCATGATTACAAAGGATAAAAGCAGAGCCAATGACAAAAAATAGTATTTTATTAGTTTTCATTGTTATCTTTAATTCTTATACCAGCTCTATAGGGATCCAGTACTATGGTACCCATTTTACAGTGTAAAAATTGAGGATTAAAATGCTGCCATCTGCTTTCTGAAGTATGAGAACTGGCAGCTGGCAGAGCCAAGGTTCTAACTCGGGCCTGTCTGATTCCAGAACCTGGATCTCTTCACTGCCGCGCTACACTAGTGATGTTTCATCGCCCTTTCTGCAGCAGAGCATACTCGAGAGGTGACAATATTTATTGCCCTGGGATACACACAGGAGGACCTCATGCTCACAGGCCTGAAAGGACAGCTTGGAGGGCCAAGGGAACAAATAAGCCAGCAGATCTGTGATGCACTGGAACCCCTGAGGAAGCCCAACACAGGTAAGCTAATTTGGGCAAGAGTTTAAGGAAGAAGTTCTTATACTCATTATATTCCAAGTTCTTATAGTTCACGTTCTGGACAGCAATCTCACATCTAATAAGGAGACTAATTTGGGGCTGAGCATAAGGAAGAAGTCCCAAGTTCTCTTTCAAGAACTTGGAATAGGATGTCTCATGAAAGTGAATTCTGTATTACTGGAGAGGATAAAAAAGAAGAGCCATTTATTAGTGATGTGGTAGAAGAGATTCATCTTGGATTAGAGGACATTTGTAGTTTGCCTGCTGTTACATCTGTCATGAAGCCCTTGTCCTCCAAGCCAGCTCCCAAAGAGTCTGCCTCTGATGAACTTTGCTAGGACTTATCAGCACCAATTTTTAAAAATATTTATCAGCTACCACCTTGTGATTTGACTTGTACATCTAGGTAACTACTGCATATTGTTTAATTTCTCGCTTAGGAGCCTAAACGTCTAATAGCAACTGTAAGCTCCTTAAGGCCAGTTTTTATGTATTAAATGTCTTATTACCTCCTGCAGGAAGTGCAGCGTTTCTATTGAATAGAGTGAAGGAAATGACAAGACTGAACTGGGACTAGAGATGGTTATTTATCCGAGTTATTCTCCCTTACTTCCTATTTCTGCCAGGGGTGTCCAACCCGCAGCCCATGGGCTGCATGTGGCCCAGGATGGCTATGAATGCCTCCCAACACAAAATCATAAATTTCTTAAATTTTATTTTGCTCATCAGTTTTTGTTACTGTTTGTGTATTTACTGTGTGGACCAAGACTCTCTTCTTCTTCCAGTGTGGCCCAGAATGCCAAAAGGTCGGATACCCAGTGTGCATAGTATACTTCACTGTCTACATATTCTTTAGCTTTAAAAATATCAATTCTGTGACAAGATACTGCAAAATATCCTTCAGGATCTTGCAGAAAAAGAACACATGTGTGCTGATTGAGCTCCTGAAAAGAAAGCTCTGGAAAAAAAAAAAACACTTGCTGAAATAACTTCATCTCTTTCTCCTATAAGTCCATGTCTAAAACTTCCCTCAAAACCTGACCCAAAGACCTTTCCAAGAGCCCTTCTTGTTTAATATCCCCCAAATCACATTACTTTTCTAACTGACATTCTAGTGGCAGAACGTATTTCTTTTACGCTCTCATTTTACATCTATGAAAGTATTCCGTGTGTATTTTATACTGCTGCTGCTATCTGGTCTCTCTTCCAAGATAAAATTTAAGCTGCTTGAGAACCAATATATTCTTTCTGTAACTTTAAATCATGGGCATGAAATGGTAAAACCCACAGGCAACAGTGGCTCCTCATTCTATGCTTACAAAATGATTGACACTAGTAAAATGATAGTATTGAAGTCTACATAATAATTTTGATCTTACATAATTTTTAATATGTCTCATTTTTTCCTGTTATATTCTGTGAGAGGTGGGAGGGACAATCATGATTACATTAAGTTAATCAATGGAAAAATAGATTCTGAGAAATACATTTATCATGTGAATCAGGGGTAGTGTAGGGAGGTTTACTAATCAGTCTCTTATAATGATGATTGAGGATGCTTTCCAGTTTTCTCTCTTCAGCATAATAAAGATTGATTGCCAAATAAATATCATTGGTAGATTTAGAGTTCTACCTCTAAATCTAAAGTTTGGAGAGGCTAGGTTGTAGGGAGGTGAGAAAATCATTCTTAGAATTGGCTGGTTAGAGGTCCTGTCATATAATGGGAATGGGTACAAGGAACATGACTTACTTTGTGCCCCAAACTGGCTCTTCTGAACGATGGAAGAAAGTAAAAATAACTGAAATTTAGAGTCATGAAGACCTCATTTACTATCAAAATTTTTGGAACAAAAATCACATTGCCAGGTAGACATGCTATATATATAAATAAAGTGGCTGGATGCAGACAATAGGGGTGAGGAAAGACTGGGGCCAAACCGAGAAAAAGTGTTTTCCCTAAAGTGTCTCCTAAGTGTGTCACCTGATTTTTGTCTTGAGTAAATTCAGACATCAGTGAGAGTCAGATATCCCAATTTTATTCAAAAGTTCCAAATATTTTAAATTTAATTAAAAAAATTTAAATCTACATCGGTCAAAAAGAACAGAACTATAGGAAACATTTGTGTACAGTAATGGCAGACTAGGTGATTTGTACAAAATATATATTTCTCATTATGAATCAAAATATCATGGATGGGAAGAAGCAAAAAGATAGAAGATGGCTAAAATTTCTTCTGTGCAAAATGGACTTTCAGGTTCTCCACCTTTATTATAGATATATAGATATATATTTCAGGATAGATTCAGGTGGGTTTTTTGGTTTGTTTGCATTTTGGTCTGTTTTGGTTTGATTTGAGTTTTGTATTTTTGCAATTTAGAAAGCCAAAACTTTGCATAAATAATATATTTTGTAAAATCACCAGTGGGATCTGAGGAAGCACCCTGTG